GTCTTGCATATCTTCTTCATAAAAAATTATTATAAAACTCAGCTTTCTGTAAATTCTTTAACAATTTCTGATAAAGGTGCACCAAGGAAGTCACATATCAGGTCTAATTCATTTTGGTCCAGAAACCAATTATGAGAGAAAACTTCGTTAACGTGTACCTATGAAAGTTAAGACTTCATTTACATAAATAACAAAAAAACGTTTTTCCTCAATATTTTATCAGATGAAATATCGCTCGTATGTTTATTTACGTTCTACATGCTGCATAAGCCCTCACGATTACTTTAATTACAATACATTGGTTTCACTAGCAACACCTAACAATCCTTTCAGCCGAAAAAGAAAAAGAAGAAGAAGAAGAAGGAGTTGCCTAGAGAAAAGATGGAACCAGGGCAAGTTGTGGCAAGTGACTCGTTTAGGTGAGAAAAAATGTTCAGATTGTCTAATTTGCAACAGTAGCTGCTGCAATTTGTTTAGATGGAAAGTTATCAAAATACTCGGTTCTGGAGGATTCGGAGATGTATATAAGGTTGTGAAGGAAAATGATGAAGATAAAAAGGTAATTTTTCGAGGAGCACACGGACAGAATATCAAAACTATTGTGATCGAAAGTTGATTTTGTATATTTCTATTATGATTCAAGAGCAGCAATAGAAAAGCGAAGTTGTCATATATTATGTCTGTAGCTGGAAACCGAGGGATTGCGAACCAAATAATCGATCAGAACGAGAGCGCACTTCTAGATCAGCATGAACCACGTGCATGTAAACTAGAACTATTGTTCTTTGAATGGCTCCTATCATTTTCAAAAAACAAGAATTCGGCGAATCAACTTATGTATGCTAGAAGTTCGAGAAATTGCTAAATGGCATTCGGAAAATTTGTATGGTATCCTTCTAATCATAGATGAAAATATCACAAGGTTTGCATGACTTAAAAGTTATCAATGAGAATTCTCGTGTTATTAAGTAGACCTGCTTTTGGCAGGCAATATATTAAGTCAATCGGAAAAATCCCTAAAGAGTGTAAGATGCACATGAAACCTTTCAATAATTCTTTTAGATTGCCAAAGCTTAGCTACCGCGAAAATTCCATCTTGAGGTCATAATCGTGCTAATTACGACACACATTTCGCATCTCGAAAGTTACCTTACGGT